CCTCCTCCCATTCGGCAGTGCCAATAATATGTTCTTTTGAACCCATAAGGTCTAAGGATTGGGGTTTCCTTCATCACCTTCAACAGCTGTAGAATTTGCAGGACTGGGGCTACGCTCATTTCAATGGAGGTCCAACTCTCATCAATTTGTTCACTAGTATGGTGCTGAAAGTAGCGAATGCGAATCATCCGAAATTACGCAACTTCGAGTGTTTGAATGAACGAAGAAGTATGACCCCTCCTCTCCAAGAAAGTTGCTGTGAACCTTATCCAAGTTTTCGAGAAAATCGTCTCTCGTGGGTGCTGTCGCAAGATACGGGGCACTGTGGTGGAAACACATTCAAAACCCCGTAAAACATTTTTTGTCAGAAACGAAATTTAAACTTAGGCGTTTAACTTAGGCGGAAGAGACAAGACTCCAAGGTGCGAGAGCACTTTTCATTTCCCCAAAAATTCCTCCCGATTCCCAGCGTCAGTTCTAGATGGCCCCGTATCTTGCTATAGCGCTCTTTCGTATTTCAACGAGCTCCATTTTTTGACTACACAATATGCATTCAAATGTGTTTCAGAGTGATGATCAGATGGAGGGCGTGCCACCGAATGATCTGGCAGCTTATTCCACTTTTGCTAGTTCTCTGCTCTTCAGTCATCATCTCAGCGAGAGGGAAACGTGAGTTTCACCTTGCACGACTGTCCTTTATAGACTCGGTTTCTAGCCGGATTCAGATTTAGGTGATAACTGCAAATCAGAAAAGCTGAGAGAGTTAGTGTTGGAGAGTGTCGGCGTATATCCACATCAGTACAGTTATCAAGCTAAGTAAGTCGAGTGAAGCTTAAAAAAGTAATTATTAAATAGTTTAAGATTTGCTCTAATTAGAGGTTGGTTAAGGGATAAAGTTCATTTACTATTTTGCAGGTACTTGAAACAGCAAGCCGAAGAACGATTTGGGAATTGGTGGAGTGTAGTGATCGTCGGTGATCGAGGAGGTTATGGAATGAGTGCTGTCTACGACAAATTCAGAAACACAAGGTTAGCCCAGTATCACGGTTGTGTATCTTCATGGAGATGGGCTCCTATTGCAAGATGGGGGCGCAGCTATTGGGTTAACCTAAAGGGCGGAAGTGGTGTAGTGGCAAGTGGCACGCTTACCACGCGAGCGGTCCGGGATCAAATCCTGGGTCGTGAGTCGCCCGGGCCAACCAAGCCTTCCATCCCTCCGGGGTCGGTTAATTGGTACTTGTCTGGAGGATAAAAACACTGACTTGACATCGGCTGGCCCCCGCAAGTCATTGTATAGGCCACATCGCATTCAAACGCCACTACGAATGTACAAATGGAAGTAGAATGCGTGCCGCATTCCCCGGCAAATGTTTTATTCTTCATCCCTTTCTCTTCCCTGGTAGCCTAGGAGGGCTATGACTTCGGTAAAGGAGACCAGCTCTGACTTTCTCGCCTTCCCTCCCCCTCCTCCACCCCTCTTGCCCGGCTTGGATTCTCAAGCTAAAACTGAACATTCATGGCAAAAAGGAAACAGTTGTTTGCAGCTGTTTTGAATGCGTTCCCCCGAAATGTCTCCCCCCACCCCATCGTCTAGAGATGGTGCATGGTTTTGCCTAAGCATAGTTTAGACGGCCGTCTAAAATTTCTCAGTGCCATTTTTAACCTCCTGAACAGGCGTGTTATACCGTATTGATCGGCTTTGAAAATTGCCTTTTTAATATGCCATTGAATAGGGAGTCTATTTAAAGAATTTAAAAATAAAGTTAAGGAGCTTCCGTTGCGTTGTACAGTGTTATTTACTCCCTCTGCTCCTCTGGACAACAAAGAATTACAGGAAAATAGAGGACACAGACGAGCCATGTCGAACGGGGAAAGGAGCCCAGCCATCTAATGTGGAGCGAATTTCATAATCATTAATCTCCTTATACGAGACCTTTATCAATAGCCCCAGGCACTTGCTGCTCGACTCATGAATTTAGCTAATCGTTGGCAACGCCGATTATCCCATCACACCCAAACCCCCCAACATCTTTGAAGCTCCCGCTTTTGTTACAATAACTTTTTTTATCAAATGCTTCAAGCCATTTCATGCGAATCTGACAATCACTGCTAAATCTTGACCTCCTTTGTCCCACCAGTCTATTTTAGCTAAGAAAACAGTCTATAACTTGCTCAGCGTACATTTCTCTGCCAAAATAAGTTTTAGGACACCCCAAAAATTTAGAGCATCTCTGGCCTTTAGGAAATGTTCTTAATCGCAGCCTTAAAATCTCAAAAATAGGGGTACCTTCCTTTAACAAAACCTCTATACTCACAATTTGTGTGACTGTTCGATTAGTTTTTACGATTTTTTACAATATTTGTTTCGATTTTGTGAGACGGTCAAAATCATTAGGACACCCTCAGAATTTCACCTTACTGTGAGATTTTTTATGAACCAGCCAACGAAGCTAGCACACATTCAGTGGTTTGGCCGCAACTCTCTAGATGTACGTGTTTAAGTTGCTATCTTCTCTGATTAGTAGAACGCCAGGGACGGTAGTAAAGTCCCTAAATAGCCAGTCTATAGCTGGCCAATAGGTCACGTTGATCTCGCCTTCGTCGGCACTCAAAAAGCATGGGGAAAGGGCGGAAATTCACGCTGACCTCCCGCAGAGGGCGAGGTCTATACCACATGTTAAGTGGCGAACGTATTAGGTGGCACCTAGCCTAGGCGGCGAACCCGGCAGAGAAAGGGGAAAGTGCGTGGAGATTGCAGAGACGCAGAGGGTCATGTAGAGGGCGACTAAAATGTACCCCTGAGTACATTTTAGTCGCCGCCTATCTGCGTCTCTTCAATCCCCATGCACTTCCCCTTTCTCTGCACGTCATGCATTGGTCGCATTGAGCGTCTCTCTGTCCCTGCCATGCGCAGAGCGCAGGGAAGAAAGGGGTACGTGGAAGGTGTTGAGTGTGGGCAGCAAGAAAGCCACTGGAGCTATCGATAATATTGATAACTTTCTGCCAATAAGGTGATCAGCTGTCCCCCGCAGTGTTCCACTTATTGATCGTGTTATAGCTCCTTCCTTGGTCCCGGGAGCATTTCACTACTGTACAATCATCTAGGCCATGATCCTAGGTTACAAACACGTCGATTGGCGCAGTGGGTTCGTTCCTTGTTGACATTGGATCGCTCGCGGGATCAGTTCTCCATGATACAGGATGTTTTGCAACCCTCATAGGATCCTACCTTGCTTTCTACAAATTCTTTCGAAGTAACACAGCAATGCTTTGTGGTGCAGTGGCAAACGTCGCGCTCATGGGCGCTGCATTACATGGTTCAAGTCCATGGCGACGCGACTTTTGCTAGGAATGTAGTGAAGCTTCGCCATTCAGAGCGGGGTCATCTGGCTGTCTCGCCTTTCATTATTCACCGTTTACGGCCGTAGTTCACCACCTTTAACTCCCAGTCTATGGCACTTTACTACCGTCCCAGACGTTGCTTTTACACGCGCCTGATGGCTCTACCACGAGCATCGAAGCCATTTTTGGAAGTTCAAGGAAAACCGTAGCTTGGTACTCCAAACTCTCACTACGAATAGAAATAAGAGAGCACCAGGATAAACAACAGAACCTTTCCAAAAGGATTGGCGCATAACCTCGAAGACTACATCGAACAAAATCACCATGCACGCTCAACCTGTGTCAGCTCTACGAAAGAAAGCGGATAAAATGAAAACCTATAGCAAAATCATTGATATGGACAACTAGCGTAGGGTCCTGCGAAGCGTGCTGCCATGCTCGTTAGGCGTTCTGACTGAAACCAGAGAAGAGAAATTCAAACGAAAGACTGGGCCAAGGCTGGGCTTTGTTGAGCAAATTTTCATTCAAATAATGAGTATTTTGTTCCTTTCAGACCGCTTTTCCTTGGTAACAAGGAGTTTAACATTGATGGTTCAGATGACGTTGTTCACTAGTAGAGGAATATAGGCCAGGTTTCGACGATATTCCCTCAACGAAATTTTC